TTTTTTTTTTTTTTTTTTTTTTTTTTTTTTTTTTTTTAATTACTATTGTTGTTTCTTTGTTGTTACTTGTATTACTATTATTATTATTGTCGTTATTTTTATCAATGTTATTATATTTATTTTTTTTATTGTTTTTATAATAATTATAATAATAATTTTTATTATAATTATTTATTTTTTTTGTCGTTGATATCTAACCTCTGCTTCAAGCCGGGCGAGTGCTTCTTCCTCTTCTATAATTTTTGGGTTTTTTTTGTTTACTGCATTTTTCTTTTTCGCTGATTTTTTTCCTTTTTCTGCCATTTTTAAAAAAAAGAATATTTAAGTAGGAGTTCAGCTGTACATACACCACAAATTAAATTTAACTAATATATATTTGTATCGTGTATTGACAGCGAAAAAGTTGCAACATATATAAGAATTTCTCTCTTCTTTTTTCGGGGTTATATGCATGCTATGCAGAAGCAGCAAAGTCTGTGTCCCCAGCAGCTAGCAGCTGTAGTGTTGAAGTAAAAAGAGGAAGAGAGAAGAGGAATACCTTTTGCTTGTTAACACAATGAAGTGGAGAAAGTTTCAGAGAAAGAGTAATAAGAGAAGAAAAACTATTTCAGGTGTATGTACAGCCAATGCGTGTTGTATGAATACAACATATTGCAATATATATGCAGGGAGAAAAAGAAAAAATATATCTACGGGTTATCTTTTGAGATATTCTCAAAGAAATGATATTCATTGCTGCAGCTTCCTGGTGGTGTACTACTCGGTGATACGTATCGACGGCTGCAGCTAGATAGGGAGTTTCTGCACTAAAAAAATATTTATTTATTTATTTATTTATTTATTTTTATACTTTTTTATGTAGTGATCAGGCGATTTCTCCCGATTTCTTGGGTTTTATTCATGAAATAACTCTTGCGGTAGGGTTCTAGATCTGTCGCTCTGACGGCATTTTCAGTCGAAGAAACGCGAAATTTGTAGCTTTTTCATGAATTTTTTTTTGAAATAAAGACAATAAAAGTTGAAATAGAACTACATTTCTCTAATTTGTTCAGCTTTCCTACGAAATACTCCTCAAATTGCCGCAAAATTCACGAAAATATATACTTGAATTTCTCCTAGTTTCAGGTGTACAGACACCTCATCATGACGCCTATCTGAAAAACGAAACTTTTCGGTTTTCAGTTCATTTCAACGATCGAAGTATCGGGGCTGCGCCCAGCCCCATCAAATTAATTTTGCAAATAGAAATAAAAAAGAAAAATAACACTTGAAATTTAAAAATAAAATATAAATTTAGGTTTTTAGTGTCGTAAGAAGCATGCAAAATATATAACAGTTGACGGTGGCTAGGGGATGCTGCGACGCATTCCTTCGTCTATCCGTGGTTACCTAAACACCGAGCCTTTAGGTTTCGTTCCTTCTTCTTTTTTTTCAGTTTATTTTCATTCTCCTGTAATATTTTCATCATTTTCTGCTTCTCGGCTTTGCTTTCCTCCTCAAGAAACCTCTGTTGTTCCCTGCATAAGGAGAAGATCGAGCACCCCCACAGTATCGTTTCAGGTTTCTTTATTTCGTGTTTCCTCTTCCGAGATATTTAATGATTTACTTTATGAAAAGAAAGAAAGTTTAATTATAAACGGAAATGAAATGGCGCTGCGTGCAGTGCGTAACCGACAACAAGCAGCAGCATCTGTTGGACCTTATGTACGGCCTACAGTTGTTAGTATTCCATCAAAAATTTCTGCATCAGGAGGAGGAGCAGCCAGAGGAGGAGTTTCATCACGATCTTTATCATCTCAGGCTGGAGCAAGCTGCCTAGACACCGCAACTTTTCCTCTTCAAAAAAAATATGGACAACACCTACTTAGAAACCCGGGAATCCTCGATAAGCTTCTTGTTGCTGCAAATATCAACAGTTCAGATGTTGTACTTGAAATAGGACCCGGTGAGTTTTTCTTTTTTTTTTTATTTTAATTTATTTTAATTTATATTAATTATATAAATTCATGTATGTTAATTATTTATTCTTATTCATTGGTGTTTTGTTTCATACAGCAGACAACACACCCCCCGTGAACTCTTATGATGCTGTTGTCGATACACCGCATGCATTTCTTTTTGTTTATCTATATACAAAATTTAAACATAATATAATATACAAAATTTAAACAAATATAAAGCCTCATATATGTTTATCTTATCTCCTTCTGTTGTGTGGATGTATCTGCTGTCGACGGCCATACATATACAAGTATAGTGTATTGCTCATCCATGAAGCTGCATATACACCCAGAAACGCCT